GATGAATATAGAATTAGACTCATTACAGTACAGACTAAAAAGAATAGACTTTTTTGAAAACCTGAATAAAATAGTGATCATGAATTGTTAATCTCAGGGCAACATACAAAAAAAATCTCAATATATTTTAGATTATTGAATATTTGCTACATTCACATCTAAATGGCAACTCTTACTTGTGTTGTAAACATGTTATTTTCTTTTTTTTTCTTTTTTTTTTTAATGGTACTGGGGATCGAACTCAGGTCCTTGCACTTGCGAGGCAGGCCACCGAACTGCTGAGCTAAATCCTTGGCCTGTAAACATGTTATTTTCTAATTATTATGGAAAAAAGCATCATGAAATTCAACTCTCTTATCTCATGTTTTTTGTATAAAGTGATCACACAGTTCATCCCTCTGTTGAAGAAATAGTAAATTTTCTGGGAATATAAATGGATGTGTCCCCTACCCAAGTTAAGTCTTTTGAGAACCCATGAAATCTAGTCATGGCAGATTTATCAAACTTAGACTTTGAAGACAATTGTAAGGATGTTAGGAGGTTAGATACCTGGAAGGCAAAAGAGTTTACAGATAAGGAATAGTAAAGACTAATTCACCTATCATTTATCCTGATGTCTTGGGAAGAGAGAACCCACAAGGAAAACAATCCTTTTGGAACACCACAACATCCCATAGGGAAGGTATGTGCTCAAAATTGAAATAACCAGAGGGAAATGTACCTAACAAGAAGATATTTAAAGCTGTAAACATCTTTGTTGTTATTCATTAGTGTGTGCAGCACTCATCTGGATGGGACTTGGCTTGTTATTTTGAATTCCTGCATCTGGTTTGGGGACAGATGCTTGACCACTTCTTGCTGTCCTGTCTGGTGCTGTAGCTTTATCCATTCATCAAGGAATTTGGACTTCCATACAGAGACCCTTCCTTTGAGAAAACCCATCCCAGTGAGTGCAAGAGCCCAGCAGGTGATTTAAGGAAGTTCCTTAAAAACCAGGAGACAAGATCATTTAGCAAAGGTAAATGAGACCAAATTCATCCTCACTAACAGCTGAGATATTCTGTGGTTGTTTGCTTGCTTGCTTCATGAATTCATCCATGTATTTACCATGTTAAAAAGTAAAGGGAACAATGAAGTAAGTAATACAAAGGCCATTTAACAGTTAAGCAATGACAACAGAAGTTAAATTAGAAGAAAATTTGAGAGGCTGAAAGTGGTCTCGATGGTTTCAATGTGTCCATGGACCCTTGTAACTAACTAGGCGAAAAAAAGAATGCATTATCTTTGGAAAGACGTAAGTAAAATGAGTACATTTCTTATTTCTGGGATGAAATGCTACTTTGACTTCCTTATTAATATTTTATAACTAATTTCTATATTTAGCAGCATTTCAATGCAATTTTCCAGTTTATTGTTTCTTATTTACATTTAGTTTCCTATAAAAAAACTAAATTTAATGTAGTGACATACTTATTATTTCTGAATTTTTCACCCCATTCCAGATGATTTTTCCCAAAGTGATATTCATGTGAGGTTTTTATGATTTTCTTCTAAGCTTTATCATTTATTTTCGTATTGAAGTTCTAAATTCCTCTAATTTTTTTAAGGTATGTGATTTGGGGAACCAACTTCATTTTCTTCTAGATACACAGCTACTTATGCCAGCTTTTATGTATCTATTCAAGCTTTTCCAAGATAAATTAATTATAACCTTGTCACATGTTAAAATGTTACATTTATAGTGTTCACCTATAATGATTAATTTGTTAAATTGTAACTGAAAGTCTTTGACATGCTACAATATTTCACAAAAATAATTATTCTCTTTGCCATGCTTTGGATCTGAAATATCCCTGAATTTATCCTGTGTTTGGAAGTTGTTGACTGGATCATGGGGACACCATGGTTGGCTTGCTGTTAGGATGTAGGTCCTTGATAACTTGGAAAGATATATTCTCCCTGGCTCCTCCTCATTCTTTCTGCTTCCTGGAGGTCATGGGTGGGGCTATTTTACCTCTGCCATGTCCTTCTGTTATCATGTTTCTGCTATGGAGCAGATTCTGATCGTGGACGGAAATCACAAGCCAAAATATATCTCTCCTTCTTTAAATTCAGATTGTTGAGTGTTTTGTCCCACTGACCGAAGAGTAAGACATTATGTCCAAATCTTTGCCAATTTAATAATCCATCTTCATAACATTAAATTATTCATATTGTATATCTTTTGGATGTAATGCTTGATGCATCATTAAGTTATGTTTAATATAGCTTTTGAAACTCCACAATTTAATGTGATATTATTACCCCCTTAGAATTACTATTATTGCTCAACTTTTCCTTCTCTTTTTTACTCTACATGATGTAAACATATTCATATAACCCTGTGAATAAAAAGTGAATAAAGCAAGTAAAAATCTTAATTCAGTGTAGAAAGATATGTCAGAGTGAGTGCAAGCTTTTATAGAAATATCATCTGTTGCATGAAGACTGAAACAGAACTAGAACATTCCAATTTGAGATTTGTCCAATAATTCAAGACTGAAAGTATGGGAAAGACATAGGCAAATACCTCGCAAAAACATGGAGAAAAGAGTCTACTTCATCTATTATTGCCTATGAAAGCCTACTGATATTTGTCTTTTTTTGGCTTCTGTCACTGAAATACATTACCCATCAGTTCTCACTCTGGAATCTGAAGAAGTTGATCTTGTACAAGAAGAGAGTAGAACAGTAGTTACAGGGACAAGGTCAAGGAGAGGGCTCAAGAATAGCTAAAGATCTGGGCCAGGGATCTAGCTCAGTGGTGCTACCACCTGCCTTCCAGGTGAAAGGTCCTGAGTTTGATTCCCAGTACCTACCCTCCAAAACAAAGAATAGTGAAAGGTTAATCGATAGGGACAAATTTACATTGAGATAGGAGGAATAAATTTTGTTAGTCTGTTGCTCAGTAGAAAGACTCTAGTTAACAATAATGCATTGTATATATGAAAATAAATTAAAAAGAAAAATTTAAAAATTTCTCAGCATAATGAAATTAGGAATGGTTGAAATGACTGGTATCTAATTCACCTGATTTTTTTTTTTTTTTTTTT